GGTGAATGAATGTATTTACACCACGGAAACTGCAAATACTACAAATCATGTTTGTTTTTTTATCCCAGAGAATTAGTTGTTAAACATTTATTGGCACTTTATAGAAGAGAGTCTTTCTGATGAGGTGATATTTGAGCAGAAACCTGAATTAAATGTGGACATTTGTCCCTGGGATATCTAGGGGAGAGCAATGCAGGCACAGGCCTCAGACCAGCACTAGCTTGACATGTTCAAGGATCAGCACAGAGAACAGCCTGGTTGATGGTGATGAGTGAGAAAAGTAGCTGGAAATCAGGGCAGGGGACAGTTTAAGAAGAACTTTGAAGCCCATGGTAAAAGATAGTTTATATTCTAAGTATATTATGAAGCCATGGGAGAACTGAAAACAGGAGAGGGACCATCTGACTTCTATTACAAAGAATCACTCTATTGTATGGAGGAGAACAGATTGTTCTCTCAGGTGGTGGTTCGAAATTTCATGGAGTGATATCTAAGAATTACTCCTTGCTTGTTAGAAATACACCAGAGCCATCGATATTTGCAACCATCCTAACATTTAATCACAGACGACATAGAAAGTATAGTTGTGACTGTCTGAGGGCTCATCCCTATCCACTTCTCTTCTCCTTCCAGGATACACGGGTAGTCTACACTTGCCACACTCTTGCAGTGAAGTGGGTTTGTATGATGAGTTCTAGCTAATGAAATGTGAGTGGAAGTGATCCATGCCACTCCCAGGCAGAAGCATTTAAGAGCCATTGTGTGACCTCACACTTTTCTCTTGCTCTTTCATGGTGATGGTAGAGGCCACATCTTGAGATGGAGGAGCCACAAGACGGAAGCAGTCTGATCCCTAAGTGACTGTGTGGAGTATAGCATCCACTGACTTACCCTGGGCAGGTAACACGAGCAAGAAAAAATATATATATTTGTTTCATTAAGTCCTGAGATTTAGGGATTAATTTATTACTTCAGCTTGACCTAGCCTATCCTGACTAACACAGGATGTCACAATAGTAGAACTTTGATCATAATGGCTAACATTTATTGAGTGCTTACTCTCTGCCAGGCACTCCGCCAAGCATTTTACATGTGTTTCTTATTTAAGCCCCACATCACCCCTATGAGCTGGACACTATTACTGCTTCCATTTTAGAAACAAGGAACTAAGTTCAAGAGAGAATAAGTGACTTGCTCAGAGTCCGCCAGAGAACAAAGGCGGGGGGGGCGGGGGCCAAGGTCCAGCCCTTACTCTAGAGCCTTCCTTTTTCCTACATGAGGAAAGAAAACACCCTCCCAACGTCACTCATTTCTTCACCCACTTATCGGGCACTTACAGTACTAAGCTCTGAGTAGGCAAAGATCAATAAAACACCATCCTGTCCTCAACGAACTCACAGTCTAGTGAGGGAGAGACCGTGAAGAGAAAACTATGATGAAATGCGTTCATAGGCAATACAAGAGACAGAGAAACAGGCTAACAGACACCATGGGAATGCAATCAGCAAAGTCCAGACAGTGGGAAAACCTATAGGACAAACAACCCAGGTTCTGCAACAAATAAATTGTGAGGGAACTGAGGCAGAACCTACAGATTAAAAGAGATTCTAGAAGACTTATCAACCAATGGCAAGAGTATTTGGCTCTTGATTCAAGCAACCTATAAACAAACAAACAAAAAATGAAGACACTTACTAGACAGTTGAAAATTTGAATGCTAAATGGACATTTAATGATATTAGGGAATTATTAATTTCAACTTTAAAAAATTTAGGTGATATAATGGTTTTGTGGTTATTCTTAAAGTGTCCTTACCTTTTAGAGATACACGCTCAAATATTTACAAATGAGATGACATGATGTCTGGAATATTCTTCAAAGTATACAGGAGAGGGAAGCGGGTAGATAAGACAAGATTGGCCATGGATGATCAGAGTTGACCTGGGTGACGGTTACATGGGGATCAATTTTAGTAAATATTTAAAACTTTCCAAACTAGAAACTGTTCCTGGGCTGGATACAAAGGATCTGGTGGAATTGCTGACAAGGTGTTTGGGGAAATTGAGAAGACTTCCAAGGAAAATGGGACATCCATGTGTGAAACACTTCTCAGGCAGCAGGGGAGCACACACACACAAATCAGATTATTTTGAGCATCACCTAACGTTATCGATGCCAGAAGTGGTTAATATTTGCTTTTCGTCAAGATCTGGTTACTATTCACGTGGAAATAGGTTACCAGAGTTCACGGAACTTCCTTCTGTGGACATGTGTAGCACTGGGCAGAGTGGAACAGGAGACTGAACGTTGGATTAGAGTATCAGGAGACTGGGCACGCAAATCTTGGCTCTCTCATTGACCAGCTGTGTGTCTTGGAGAAGGGCTCTGAAATTTTCTGTGTCTCCATTCCCTCATCTACAAAATAAGGAGGTCTGAATTGTTTCCAAAGACCCCTTCCTGCTCCAACATTCTATTTTTCTCCACGGGCTTCCACAGACAAGAAACGTTAGTGGGGGTCATGTGTGGGAGCCTGCTGCTTCAGGTCACTGTAGCATCATCAGAACCAAAAAGACCTCCAGTGCCGGCATCTTAGTTACAGGAGACCCTGGGAAAATCTCCTGCACATAGAGACCCCCCCTGATGCAACCTTGGACTGTTCTCTACTTCACCCGGGGGGCAGAGGGGAGGGTGAGATGAGAGCACGGCGCACTGTGTCAGACGGTACCTGAGATCTTGGTGCTCTTCACAGGTTGAGGGAGGAGAATCTACTTACGGCTTGGCAACTTTCTTGTGAAAAGTTCCTCTCAGATTGAAAATCCTACCTGCTTTCTTTCCTCTATGTTGAATATTGAGAAACCTGCCCCTTGCTGTCCCAAATGGAGGTACAATAGTTCTGAGTGGATGTCACTAGGGACCCACAATTTCTGCACTGAGGAAAATAATAAAAAGAGTCAAAATATCCCCTTACCACACCACCCCCCACACCTTTTGAACTATACCAGAGACTCAGCTGCAAGCACTCCCATCATGGAGGGAGGATAGGACGCAGGCCCAGAACCGCCCCCTCCTCCCCTCTCTCAGTGCCGCCTCCCTATCCCCGCCCCACCCCACTCCTGGCAGAAGGCTGGAAGCCACACAGACCCACCTAGGAGAGCTCTGGCATTTGAGAGGGAAACGAGGGCAAGTGAGACCCGCCTGGTCTCTGACTCTATGTCCCGCAATTTCTGTCCTAGAGTGACTGAAAAGAAGGTTGGTGTGGGGCAGAGAAAGGAGACAGCCCTGAGGGTGGCAGACCCGCAGACAGCAACGGGGAGACTAGGGCTGCTCATCCGTCTCTTCTTCTTCCCCCGTGCTGCAGTCTCTCGGCCTTTCACTCAGAGGAAGGACACACAGTGGTTCTCTCTATCTGGAAAGCGTTTTCCAGGCTGTCCCCCACAACACTAACTGCATCCTTCCCTCACATCTCCACAGAGGCTTCAAGTGCTGAGGGAGGCTTCCCAGACTAGGACACCCCCCACTACGCACCCTCATGGAATCTCCTTGCTTTCTCTCCAACATTTTTATCAATTTGTGATTGTGTATTAACTGATGTGATTATATGATTAACATGCCTCTCTCATTACACTTAAACAGATATCATAGATCCTGGGTATAGATTGTTTTCTTTTAAAAATTGAAATAGAATACACAAAAATGCACAATTCGTAAGTGCAGCTCAGTGAATTATTACAAAGTGAACACACTTGAACAATCACTACCCAGGTCAAGAAATAGAACTCCAGTCTCCCAGAAGGCAGCCTTCTCCTTCCTGAAGTAACTACTCTCCCCATGTTCATAGATTAGCTTTGTCCCCTTTTTAAAGTTTTAAATCTTAAGACTTTTAAAATTTGATATATAATTTACACACAGTGAAATTTATCCTTTAGCGTGTGCAGTTCTGTGAGCTTTGATAAACATGTAGCATTCTGTTTATCACGGCCTCAGTCAGGATACAGAACAGTTCCATCACCCCCAAAATTCCCTTGTGGGCTTCGTATTCAACCCCCCTCCCCATGCCCAGTTCTTGGAAACCACTGATGTTTTCTTTCCCTATATTTTTACATATTCTAGAATTTCATGTCCTTGGAATGGTCCAGTATTGGGAGAGAGACTCAGCACAGAAATGATGACAAGGACTAGCTTCTTTCACTCAACATGTTTGTGAGGTGTATCCATGACGTTGTATATAATAGTTCATTTTCATTGCTGTATGCCAATACCATAATTTGTTTATATCATTGTATGTATTTATCCATTGTATTGTTGATGGACATTTGGGTTGTTTCCGGTTTGGGGCTATTACAAACTATGCTGCTAGAAACATTCTTGTACACGCCTTTTCACGCTTACTGCATGCATCTCCTTTATGGCTTAGCGATCCCAAGGTCATGAAGGTGTACTTCTATCTTAGTTTCTAGAAGTTTCATTTTACCTTTCACACACAAATCTACAACTGACCTGGAATGCATATTTGTACATGATGTGATGTGAGGTAGGGGCTCAAATTTTTTTCTTTTTCTACGTGGATGCCCAATTGACCTAGCACCATTAATTGAAAATAAGTCCTTTCCCCTTGCTGTGCAGTGCCACCTCCGAAATAAATAAACTGTACACGCGCAGTTTTCTTTCTAGACTCTCCATTCTGTTGCACGGTCTATTTAACTTAATCATTCCACTTCGTTCTTCTTTTTCCAGATTTTTTCCGTTATTCTTGACCCTCAGAATTTCTTCATAATTTTTAGGCTCCAATCTGAGTTTACACATCCTTGGGTGCCAGCACCTGACACGGTGCCTGGAGCACGGTAGGAACTCAGTGGATACCTGTTGCATGAAGGGGGTTGACCTCAGGACCTTTCAGAGATGATGGTAAAGGCTCAGCACCCCCGACTCCACTCGTCCACCTTGCTGCCCCCAGCGGCGCGCCGGGGAACTGCAAGGAGGCGTGCCCGGGGCGGAGCGTGTCCTCTTCCCGGGACCAGCGGGCGCCCGCGCCTCTTCTCCCCGCCCCAGCCGCCTTGTGTCCCCGCCTGGCGGAAGGCCGATCGCGCCTCCCCCTGAACTGGGCGGTGGCAGCGCGGAGATGGTGGCGGCGGCGGCGGCGACAGCGGCTCCGGGAGGCAGCGGCGCTGGCATGGACCCCCGGCTGGACCAGGAGACGGCCCGGTGGCTGCAGTGGGACAAGGTGAGGGGCGGCGGGGAGCGGGGAGCTCCCGGAGGAGGTGCGGGGTCCCCTGCCCGCTCCGCAGGCGCCGCACAGCCTGCCGCGCTTCCTCCCTCCCCTCCCCTCCCTGCCCGCGGGGCCCCACGGCTCCCCCAGAAGACGGTGGAGGACGACGTGGCGGCCGCCAGGCCTCCCCGGGCCGCCTTGGCATGCGGCAGACTCGGAGTTTGTCGGAGAAAGGAAGTCCCGGGACAAAACTAGCCCTCCGACCGGCCGGGGCTGCAAGTCCGAGAGGCGGGGAGCGAGCCGGGGCTGATCTGAACGCCGCCTGGCTCTGGAGTCTCCTCTAATTGAGGCAGGCATGCTTTCCCGTCGCTCAGACCGCCGGCTTGTCTTCAGCAAGCGGCTGTGCATCTCCCACTGACACACAACGGTCCCGTCCCGCCTATTTCTTTTGCTCCTGGTAACTCTGCAAGTAGCATTCCATCCACCTCTCCCTGGCGCTTGGTTACAAACGTGCGTCCTCCCGATTGGGCTCTGGCTTCAGGCGTCTTCTCAGGTCTCTGACTTTGCTGAGAAGATGAGAGGAAACCCCTTGGGCACAGCACCGCTGGCTTTTCTCCTCTTCACTTCACTCTCTTAGATGCTGGAGCAAAGAAAGAATCAGGGCCCCAGCTCCGGACATCGCTTCCTCCCTCCTTTCTAACTTGAGTTCCTCCTTCCCACATGTTCCTTCCTTCTGGCATGCTCTTTGTTTTCCCGGAATGTTCCTCTCTGCGCTCTTCTGCTGAACGTGTTTCTCATGTTGTTACTCATGTTTTGGGTGTGAACTTAAATGTGGCTCATGTAGAGAGGTCTTCTCCCTAATTCTCCCTCTGTTCCTGTTCTTTTCCTTCGCAGCTCTGACTGCGGTTGGTCAAAAAACAAAACAAAAACTTGTTTGTAGGTTTCTTTGTTTAATGTGCGCCCTCAGGGCTGACTTCAAAGGCAGGAGAGCTGTTCTGGGGCACAAGACCTGTTTTTTAGGAGGGCTCAGCACTTGGTTTAATACTCTGCTGTCCTGTCTTGAAATTCTTAAAGACTGTTGAACAAGAGGTCCCACATTTTCACTCTGCACTGGGCCCCAGATATTCTGTAACCGGCCCTGTCGGCTCCCTCGCTATCTTCCATGGTTTATAGGCCCTGACACAGTGCACTACTCACGGTAGATACCTAAAATAATTTGTTGAATAAAGGAACGGGACTGCAAGGCCTGTCAGCAGGGGCCAGGTCTTCCCCTTTTCCCTGTGTCCCCTGTCCATGAAATGTCAGCACATCCTGTTTCCGGTTGCTATTGGCAACTCCTTGGGTGTTTTTGCTTTTCCTGCAAAGAGCCTTGTGATTCTTTTGGGAAGAAAAAGTTTTCCATTTCTGGTAACTTATAGTGTGTAGAAATCTTTTAAAGTTATAGTTGGTAACGAATTGTTCCATTAAACTTTCCCTTTGGAGAAATCGAAGTCTCATTTGCACAAAATGTTGTCTTTGTATAGAGATAGTACCTCCCTGATAGAGGTGAGGGGACGTCGTCTTTTTTATTTTTTAATTCCTACCACTCCTTTGGTTCTTTCCTCTCTCAGTTTCTTCTTTGGTTCAAGACAGGCACCAAATGGGGACTTCCCGCCAGCTAAAAGCACTGCAGTCCTCTGGTCTGACGCCCCCAAGGGTCAGCAAGGAGCCTGGCAGGTGCCCTCCCACGTTCCCACTGTGCCTGCATCCCTGTGCCTTTCGCTGCTGTCACCTTCGGTCACTCCCACGTCTGATTCTGATCTCTCCTGCCATATTGACTTTTCATTCTCTCTCTCTGCCTCCTTGGGTTTCTCTCAGGCTATTTGCTCTTTTATAGATATCAAAGGCCAGTTAGGATTTTCCAAATCTACACTGTGGATGAGAGAATCGCTGGATATTGGGTGTGGCCTTGAAGTCTCCATTTTCTCATTCACTCAGCAAATATTTATTGAACCTCTTTAGGTTCCAGATCTGAACCCCTCCTTGGGGGCACCTGACAGTCTGATTGGTAGATTGTGCTCTGTGATCAGTGTTTGTTGCTTTTAATCAAAAAAGTGGGCTTTTACTTGATTCCTCTTGAATCTGGAACAATCTGGAAATGTGGGCTTAATGCCAGAAAGCCAAGGTTTTATTGCAAGAGCATTTCAAAGTTTAATGATGTGGCCACATCTTGCGTGCATGTTTATCTTGTTGGATGCTGACTGTAAGATAGAAATAAAGTCCTTACTCTGTTATTCCTCTGAATTCTTAATTTAAAAGTCTGATGTGGAATTAACGTGATTGTCATTTTTCTCCATTCTTATCATTTTCTGCAACTATTAAACAAAGAAACTATGGCAGTGTAAAATGAACTGAAATGACTTGTGTGTCTATTTAAAGCAGAAAAGCCACTAAGTTCATGATTATCATGCAGTTTAAGTAATTCACTTAATCTCTGAGACTTCCTCCTCTGTAAAGTGGGGTTTTTGTTATTTGCATGCTTTTTGCAGTTACTGCAAGATTCAAATTTGACCAGGTATGTGAAAGCATTGTACAATTTATAAAACACTGCAAAAGTAAGGTTTTGAGTTAAATTGTGTAATCATCACTCTCTGGGAAAATTTGAAGACATTAGGGAAGAAAATGAACATTTGATTACAACTAAGTACCAGGCAGAGAAAGAAGTTTTACATTAATTTAATGGAAACCACCTTCCAAGGGAGGTTCTAGACTGTTCCCATTTTATAGATGAGGAAGCTGAGAATTGAAGAAGCGATGTAATCTGCCCAAGTGTATAGAATTGGTAAGTGATGGTGTGGTTGGGATTCCATTCTGGGTGTTAGAACCCAAAACCTATATGTTCATTCCATTTCTCCAAAAGCGCTTGCCTTATTAGGAAAGAAAATAATATTTACATTATAAAGGAAAAAACTATTTCCTTCTACTCACAACACTCCTGACACCGAATGTGTGGGTTTTCCACACCAACCAATTTTCCAGTTCTGTGTGTACACCAACTGGGTGTCCTACAATTTAACTCAATTCAGACACTAGCTACTTGGAGTTAGCTGAGACCCCCTCCAGATTAAGGGCTCAGTCCCACAAGACTGTGGCCACTTCAGATGTCAGTCGAAAGTCCCAGGTTGTCACCTGTACTTCTGACCAACCAGCAGTAAATCAAGGGTTCCCATGACCCCCTTCTTGGGGCTGATAATTTCCTAGAATGGCTCCCAGAACTCAGGAGAGCAGTTTACATACGATTATCAGTTTTATTATAAAGGACACAACTCAAGAGCAGCCAGTGGAAGAGATGCACAGGGCAGGGTATGGGGGAGGGGCGCAGACCTTCCAAGTCACCCTCCTGGTGCACCAGCACCTTGATGTCTTCACCAGCCCGGAAGCTCTCCGTGCCCCGTTGTTTAGGGTTTTCATGGAGCTTCCATTGCTTAGGGATGGTTGAGTAAATCGTTGGCCTTCGGTGACTGAGCTTCATCTCCAGCCCCTCTCCCGTCCCTGGACATCAGAGGCTGTAAGTTCTAACCCTCTAGTCACATGGTTGGTTCCCTGGTAACCAGCTCCCTGTCCTCCAACAGTTACCTCATTAGCGTAAACTCACGTATGCCTGAAAAGAGGCTTCTTATGAATAAAAAGATGCTCCTCTCACCCTAATCACTCAGGAAATTCCAAGGGCTTTAGCAGCCCTGGGCCGGAAACCAGGAACAAAAACCAAACATCTATTTCTTATTGTATCACAATATCGCGCATTATAATTCCAAAACACCAACTTCATATTTCAAAAGCGTCAGAAAATTGAAAAGCGTATATATATATATATATATATATATATATTATATTTCATAGGTTAGAATCACTGTGGGTTTTTTTATTTTTCAGATTTTTCATTCTCTTATTTACCTGGCTGTATCTGGTGTATATCTGTTTTGCAGAATTCTTTAACTTTACAGTCAGTGAAACAACTAATTGCAGAAGGTAATAAAGAAGAACTACAGAAATGTTTTGGGGCTCGAATGGAGTTTGGGACAGCTGGCCTTCGATCTGCCATGGGAGTGGGAGTTTCTCATATGAATGACTTGACTATCATCCAGACTACACAGGTACCGCATTTTCATAACTCTTAGTTATTCTTAACATATCCCCAGTCTTAACAAATGAACGGAGGCATATTAAAAATTTTAGAGTGGGGCTGGCACGGTGGCATAGTGGTTAAGTTTGCACACTCTGCCTCAGGGGCCCAGGGTCCGCAGGTTCAGATCCCAGGCACGGACCTAGCACTTCTCGTCAAGCCATGCTGTGGCGGTGTCCCACATAAAATAGAGGAAGATTGGCACAGATGTTAGCTCAGCAACAATCTTCCTCAAGCAAAAAGAGGAAGATTGGCAACAGATGTTACCTCAGGGCCAATCGTCCTCACACACAAAAAAAGAAAAAAAGTAAGAGTTTATTTGAGCAAAAATCTATTCAAATTGGACATTACCAAACCAGAAGTGCTTAGGAACACTCCACTGACAGGAACCAGGGGAAAGACTTACAGAGAAGAGCAGGAAACAAAGCAAGGAAATGATTTGATTGGCTATAGCTTAAGCAGCTGTCTTATTTGGGAAAGCCTCGTTGGCCGTTTGTGATTGGGTATCCTTAGGTTTTGATTTCTTGACCTTGAGGCATTTACAGGCTTAGGTTTTGGTTTGCTTTCATAGGCTACTAAAGTATTAAAGCCACCCCAGTCCAGTGGCCCCTTTGTTTGATTAATTTAACCCCAGGTTCCTTTCGTATTTGACAGACATAATTTGTTTTAATTATGGCCGTGTCTTGTGGGTTTGCCTAGACACAGGGAGTCACACATTTACTCCCAAAAGTAAGGCTTGTGCAGTTGTTTGAACCAGTACATGTTTCAAAACTCATATAGCCATCCATTCACTCATTCATTCATTTCGCAGAGATGTATTGAGTGCCTACTATGTGCCAGGCATTGGGGATATAATAATGACTAAAACAGACGGATTCCCTCATGGAGCTTTCATTCCAGTGCAAATCCACCAGCAAAGCTGACTGACTTTTACGGTCTTACGGTTCTTGTTACGGTTGTACAGGGGCAAGCGTTCAAGAGCTTTTCTAACTGCCAGAATAACCAAGAGCCAATTCTATCTAGTTTTAATTTATAGTATAGGTGGCAATGATTGCTGTATTCCCTTGCCTTAGTTTGTGAATTTCGCTGTCAGAGTCCAGACCCAGCTTTCAGGAATAGAGATGAAGCCTTTGACAAAACAGAGGAGCTGCCACTGAATATCGAGAGATCTGATTATGGAGGAAATGGAGTAGAACAGATTATTCTGTTTCTTCAACTACGTAGATGTTAAAAATGAAGATCACTTTAATTCTGGGGAAGAAAAGGCTGGAAAAATTAACTACTGATGATTATGTGTCTCTTACATGTACCTCCCAGCAGAAAAGGCACAATTGGGCCTGTTTAAGCAAAACCCTAATAAGGAAATCTTGTATAACGCTACAGAGTTGCCATGGGAACACCTGGCCACAAATCCCTGTTAAGCAGTAGGGCTCCCTGAGGTCTCTTTGGAGGGAAGGCTTGCAATGGAGTGAGCCTGGAAATCCTGTTCTAGTTTATGGATAACATGGAATTGTGGTGCTGGTAAGGTCACCCTCTGCTCCAGTTAAGGGCTGCGTAACAAATCACCCAAAACATGATGGTTTTAAACAGCAATCACATTTATTTTGCTCACAAATCTGTAATGTGGGTAGAGTTTAGTGGAGACAGCTCATGTCTGTTGCACTTGGCATCACCTGGGCTAGCTTGGATCCTGGAATCATCTGAAAGCTCCCTCACTCACATGTCTGCAGTTATTGCTGGCTCTTGACTAAGATGTTATCTGGGCTGGAACGCTGCATGTGGCCTGGGCTTCCTTATAACATGATGCCTGGGAAAGCATCCAGAGAGAGTTTGTGTGCACCAGATGGAAGCTGTATTGACTTTATGACTTAGCCTTGAAAGTCACACAAAACCACTTCTACCATCTTCTGTTAAAAGTGAGTCAGTAAAGCTGCTCATATTCAAGGTGAAGGCATGTTGACGCCCATCTCTCAATGGAGGAACGTCAGTGTCACACTAGAGGAGCATGTGGGATGGGATGTATTGGCGTGGCCATCTTTGGAAAATCCAGTTGGTCACACCTCCTTTTAGGCCTAATTGTTAGGGGATTTTAAGGGGTTCTAGATGAAATAAGAGTCTTTTCTTCTGTGTTCATCTAGATCTAGTTTCTAGGAGTGATGAAATCTATCCCCAGAAAGGTCTTGGGACCTGCCACACACATCCTCTTCCCTAGGGGAACTGGTCTCTTCTGGGGGTAGACCCTGTGATAGCTAAAAATCCTACAAAACTGAGATGAGTAGATCCTTTAAAGGTCATCTGAGTCAACCAGCCACTTGTTGGGATAATTTGCTCCACAATTCTCTCCTCCAAATTGATCATCCAGCCTATACTGAAACACTTACAATAGGAGACAAGCATGTTAAAAATTAAGACAATTTTATAAGAGCTTTTTTTTTTTGAGGAAGATTAGCCCTGAGCTAACATCTGCTGCCAATCCTCCTCTTTTTGCTGAGGAAGACTGGCCCTGAGCTAACAACCGTACCCATCTTCCTCTACTTTATACATGGGACGCCTACCACAGCATGGTGTGCCAAGCGGTGTCATGTCCGCACCCGGGATCTGAACCGGTGAACCCTGGGCCACTGAGAAGTGGAATGTGCGCACTTAACCACTGCGCCACTGGGCCGGCCCCTATAAGAGCATTTTTAAAATCTTAGGAGTAGTTTCAAAATTGAAGAAAAGGATTCCCAGGATAAACTACCCGGGCTTCCACCCCAACCTTGGGTAGTGTGACCTGGCGGAATGTGCTGGCCTTCACTGTGGCCCAGCACCCTGCCTGCTGGTCTCTGGTGTGGACTCTCGTCCTAATGGGGCTTCCAGATTCATCTGGTTAGATTTAAGAAGCAGATGTCTGTGAGTCAAGAACGTCCCAAAGGGATACAGGATAGAGACAAGAGGGGAATTTTTGTATTGTTCGCCTCATTGATAGAAATTATAATTTCCTCCTAGATTACTTGACTGAGCCACGACACATCAATTCAGGGACTCACTGTCTTCTGGCATAGCCCTTCTGTCTTTGGATTGTTCTCATTAAAAAATGGTTTCGTTATTTTGAGCCAAAATCTGTCTTTCCGTAGCTTTTACGTATTGGTCATAGTGTGACCTTTTGAAGCCATACAAAGTTTATTTCTTGTGTCTTATAATAACATTTCAATTCTGAAAACCTCCCTCATCCCGCCCTGAGTTTTTTCCATGGAATAAGGATTCCCTCTTCCCTTAGCCATTCTCTCAGGGCTCAGCTTCAGCAGGCCCCAGAGGTAATTTGGACGTCTGAGGATTTTGGACTCAGGCTGAATGCATTTTGCCGCCTTGAACATTGGGGCCACCCAATGTGTGTCAACTAGGGACAGGGAAAGGGTGCTGTCGCTGTTGTCATCCTCAGAGAGTGAAGCATCCGGGTACCTTTTAGGGAACCCACAAAACCAATACACATGTCCTTATTTCCTTGTATCACGCAACCTCAGAAGATATGCCCAGTGTAATACTTTTGTCCAGGAAAAACTAAAGGCATTCTAAATTGGCACTGGTCTGGCAGAAGAACTAAAGTATCCCCCAATCAAAAATGAGTTATAATTATTTTTTAACAAGACTTCCTTCAGCCTAAATAACATAAGTAATATGAACCATCATTGTTACCCAATCAGCCAGAGTTCTCTGTGTTCTGTAATAAAACCTATTTTATCCAGCAGTCTAAACCTATTGAATTCAAAGTTCACTGTTCTCTAATCTTCCCTATTTCAGATTGATGTGGTGTTATTGCACTCACTGACATACAGGACTTGCGTGCGCCATCGTTTCTAGGCATGGGTAATAGCCCAGACTCTGCACAATCTTTGTGTGTGTAATTGGCTATGCCTTGTAATTGGGCTGATAAGGTCTTCTTAAGACCTCTGCCTGCTGGAAAGCAGTATCACAAACGAACAAGCAGAATGGGTTTAGATTAGTGAATTGTCAAAATTTTGTAAATGTACTGTGTTTCTTTGACCTACTGATGATGTTACAGAGCAGAGAGAAATGTCTGAAACACCTGCCTGTCCTCTGTCATTGTGGAACTAGTGTCAAGGAAGGAGCACAGGCTTTGAAGGAAAATCACAACAAAGATAATGCTCGTAATGCAAACATGTAGCAATTCCTTGGGGCTGGATTCTCAGCACTTGCCGTGTGTTAAGTCGTTTAATCCTTAGACAGCCCTTTAAGGTAGGTACTGTTATTCCTGTTTTACAGAAGAGGAGACAGATACTGAGAGGTAAGGAACTTGTCATTTGCTTATAGGTGGTGGAGTGGAGGACAAACCCAGATTCTGTGAGCTTTCCTGCTAGCCCCGAACCACCTCTAACCAGACCTGAGCCCAAATCCAGGCTCTGCTCCTTGTGTATCTGAAACCGGCAAGTCACTGAGCCTTTCCGAGCCTTAGTTTACCCATCTGTAAAATGGGATTCCTTGGCAAAGTTGATCTGGGGTTAGAGATAATAGACATTAAGTGTCCAGCACAGTACTTGATACGTATAGATAGACAATGAATAAAGCTGCTATTTTCTTATTGTTCAGTTTGTTTAATTACAGAGAGATTTCCCCCCTCTGCTACAATTTTGTCATGTGGAAGTAGAGAAAACTTGACCAATTTTTGGCCAAGTTTTGATGTGTTAAAGCATATGTGCTCTTTTAATCCATGGTATGTTTTTTAGGGGTTTTGCAGATACCTGGAAAAACAGTTCACTGACCTGAAGCAAAGAGGGGTCGTGATCAGCTTCGATGCTCGAGCTCATCCCGCAAGTGGAGGCAGTAGCAGAAGGTATTGAAACATTTTTAGGAAACTGTTTCCTTGTAGTGTATTCTGTGGTTTTATTTTTATCACCATTTCAATAGCTTGACTTCAAATACATTTGTTAGCTACACTGCTTAACTCTAAAAATGATGGGTAAACTCTGTAACTTTTAAGAATTCTGGTTTTACATTTGGCTTCAGAAAATGAAATTATTTAGACAATCTAGAATTTAATATCTATCTAAATGAAATAAATTTTTTTAAATGGCATTATAATTTCTCCCTCTCACTTTCTTCTGTTTATCTAATTTTTTTCTTCCACTCTTTGTAAGTCTCATGAGCTTCTTCCCATTCTTTCCTTTTTAATGTTTTTTTTTTTTTTGAGGAAGATCAGCCCTGAGCTAACATCTGCTGCCGATCCTCCTCTTTTTGCTGAGGAAGACTGGCCCTGAGCTAACATCCATGCCCATCTTCCTCTACTTTATATGTGTGACGCCTACCACAGCATGGCTTGCCAAGTGGTGCCATGTCTGTACCCGGGATCTGAACCAGCAAACCCCGGGCCGCGGAAGCGGAACGTGCGCACTTAACCGCTGCGCCACCGGGCGAGCCCTCCTTCCCGTTCTTGAACCCCATTTCAAGTTGCATTCTTGTAATATTCCCAAACCAGTGGGGCCCTCATGTAGCTATAGGCAGATGGTGATGATGATGATGGTGATGGTGGTGATGACAACGACGACAGTGATAGTAATAGCAGCAGTCACTTGAGCGCTGAATATGAACTAGGCACTTAGGTATTTACTCATTTAATCCTCACAACCACCTGTAAGGTATGTGCTTTCATCTCTGTGCCCTAAGATTATGAAGTGAGAGAAGGAGCCACAATGTAAGCATAAAGAGGCTGGCACCAGGGTTCAGCAAACTTTTTCTCTAAAGGGCAAATAGGAAACATCATACACGTTGTGAACCATACAGTCTCTGTCACAACTCCTCAACTCTGCCCTGGAGCACAAAAACAGCCATAGACAATACGTAACTGAATGGACATGGCAGTGTTCCAATAAAACTTTATTTACACAATGGGCTGTAGTTTGCCAACCCCTGTTCTTAATCATGTTACGTGACCCTCTTTTATACTTGAACATTTCCTCTATTATGATGGATTTTTTATTCCTCCGGTGTATAAGTATAAGTAGTTGATTAGGTTGGAGGAACATACAAGTATTTAATATTAATGGAAAGTCTCGTTAACTTTACAGAGCTGGCTGAGTTCATAGAGTCCTAACCTTTGCCTGTCAAGGGCTTTTAATCTAAGAGAAAAGCACTGATGGGAACAAATGTGTGGCTACGAGGAAAGGAGCATGTCCAGAGTGAAAGACTAGATGACAGCTGCCCCTAGATTGAACTCAGGATGATATAAGATGTTTGGTTTTCAGCTGCAGGCTCAAAAATGTGGTTTTTGTCAACAAAGCAAGAGAGAAGCTGTAACTCTCAGGGATAGATGCGCATGCACTGTATTCACAAGAGAAAGATGTAGTATAAACCAGAATATCCGTTTGTCAGTTTTCAGTTAGTGAATTTAAGTTTAGAATTAGATCATACGCATGCTTTACCAGCCCCAGGCCAGAGCATGCACGGTACGTATATAAGGGTAACTCTGCCTGTTTAGCTCCTCAAATGTCTTCATTTTAGGCTGACTGCCCTGCTTCTGGTTGACGCATCCTTCAGCCATGTTAACATTGTCACTTAAGGTACAGGTATTTCTTGCTCTGCCTTGGAGCCCTATCATTTCCTTAAAGTGGCTGATGTTACTGGTTCCGCCTGACTTAATGGTTCACGTCTGAGCGTTTGATGGAATGGGACGGATCGGAGCTCAGGGTTGCTCTCTGTCACCTACAACATACAAGACATTTAGAAATCGTAAAATAAATATTAAACTAATATATGGTGAAACATTCCTGATGAGTAAATGGAATCTTCTTAAAGAGTTGGAAACTACTACAGTCTCAGAAGTTTACCTAAGGAAATGTTGATTAGTTCTCCAATCTTCCAATTTTAAATATCTGGTGGAGAACATAAGTGATAACTGTTAAGCATATGCAGAGAACACACTGAATCTTTTTTGTGCACATTTGTAACTTAGTTCATATATATCGTATGTATGCTGAGTGTGTCCTTTGCCAACTTTAAGAAAGTAACTTTTTTTTTTTTTGAGGAAGATTGGTCCTGCCTGAGCTAACATCTGTTGCCAATCTTCCTCTTTTTTTAAATTTTTTCTCCTCAAAGACCCAGTACATAGTGGTATATCCTAGTTGTAAGTCCTTCTAGTTCTTCTATGTGGGATGCCCCCATAGTGTGGCTTGATGAGCAATGTGTAGGTCCGTGCCCAGGATCCAAACTGGCGAACCCCCGGCCGCAAAACGGAGCGTGCAAACTTAACCAGTCTGCCACCAGGCCAGCCCCAGAAAGTGTCTTTAAAGTCGGCCTGAACACACAATAAACATTTCATGAGAGCAAAAGTGGCTTGATGACTTCTGGTGAATGCAGTGTGGATTTAATTCAGATTCTTCTTAAAATTGTTTTTGCTGAATTTTGTTATTTTTATGACTTGCCCCTGTGTAGAGACATTTTTTTTTTTTTACTGTCAGAATCATTCTTGTATTACTACTGATCCTAGGAATTTTAATGCTTGAGTTGTTAAAGTGCAGAGATCTCTTTGTGCCCCAGCCAGCTCCTGGAATAGTGTTTGTTGAAGCTCGTACTCGAGGAATATTTGAGGGGAGAATGAATGATCCGTTTATTTAATCCTGTAGTGGTGTGATGTTGTTCATTGGAAGTAAATTGCTCATTTATTGTGGTAAAGTATTTTACTCCAAGCATGAAGAGAGACGTGATGCCATGTTCTGTGTCCTACCCAAAGCCAGTTGCTGTGGAAATTGAGAAAAATGTCAAAGTGTCAAAGATTTAAGTCATCTTTTAAGGACTGAAGAGAGCCAAGATGTATATATGTCATATACATATATATGTCATATATATATCACAGTCACACACACATACACATGCCAATGTGCATATCTTACATGTTTCATATAAGACAACATTCACTCAAATGCTAGGCTTCATGGTATATACTGGATTGTGATAGCTTTGGACTAGGGTTTCTCATCTCTGTGCTCTTGACATGTGACTTCATAGTGGGCCTGATAATTCTTTGTTGTGGGGGACTGCCCTGTGCATTGTAGGGTGTTTACCAGCATCCCTGACCTCTACCCACTAGCTGGCGGTAGTCCCCTATCCCTACCCCCAATGACATCCAAAAATGTCTCCTGACATTTCAGATGCCCCATGGGGGCAGAATCACCCTCAGCTGAGAATCACTGAGATAGACAGGGGCTTGAAAGACTTAGGTGCCGGCCTGGCTCAGCTGCTAAGTGGCTGTTGGACATGGAACAAGTTGTCCGGCCTTTCTTGACTTTAAAACATTTCTGTAAAACAAAGACATGGAATGAGACGACTCCTAAGGTTCATCCAGCTTTAATGTTCTATGCTGATGGAAATATAATAAACATTTTTCTTGATCAGGCTGCTATATTCAACCTAAACAAGTAGTTGGAATGGATAAAGAAGATGTGGTGTATATATGCAATGGTATTACTCAGCTGGTAAAAAAAAAAGACAAAATTGTGCCATTTCTGACAACATGGATGGACTTTAGGGGTATTATGCTAAGTGAAATAAGTCAGACAGAGAAAGACGAATACTGCATGATTTCACTCATATGTGGAAGATAAACAAACATGTGGATAAAGACAATAGATTAGTGGTTACCAGAGGGGCAGGGGGTGGAAGGAGGGCTAAAGGGGTAAAGGGGCACATATATGATGACGGATAAAAACTGGACTGTGGTGGTGAACACGATACGGTCTATACAGAAACTGAAATATAATAATATACACCTGAAATTTATACAATATCACAAGCCAATATGACCTCAATAAAATTTTTTTAAAAAGAAGTCAGGCGTTCATGTCCTTCTTTACTGTCACCTGCAATCCTGACAACTCTTCTCTCCTTTTCTCCCCGTCATGTTGCATTTCCAGATTTGCCCGACTTGCTGCAACCACGTTTATCAGTCAGGGGATTCCTGTGTACCTCTTTTCTGATATAACCCCAACCCCATTTGTGGTAAGTAGCTGTTTCCCTTTATAATTTCCTGTCACGGGATTGGGGCTGGGATGTGGCTGAATTTTACAGTCGTTAGTGCTGTTGCGATCCAGGCGTTCACATGACAGAAGAGCTCCTTGGCGTCAGGTCAGCGGGCATTCTCTCTCCTCTCCACTAGGATTGTTTCTCCCACATCCTACTAAAGTTTCTTTGATATTCAACTTTTGATTCATCAGAATTTACTTTTTTAATTATAGTTTTCCTTTTGCTTGCATGCAAAGGAAATTTTAGCTGGTTAGCAAAAAATGTCTTTTGTTTGTTTTTTAATTTGGTTTGTAGTTCTTTTTCCCAGCTATCACAATTAGGAAACTTCTTGGGTCTAAACCTGAATTCACCTCCAACCATGTCTTATCATGAATATTTTTGACAAGTTGGTGCACCAGCTTTTTATACAAATGTTTCATTCTGAATACTATTTGTAGCCACAGCAAGAAGCGCGCTTGGCATCTTTTGGTAAGATTTTTATCAAGTCCTTTATGTAACAGAACCTGAAAAGGAAAATAGAGACCGTGACAGCTGTTGCTTTTAAGTAGATAGAACTTTGAAGGGTGAGGCCAGATGCTAAGAATATATGTTTTTAGCAATTAAGTGAAAAACGTGATTCGAATGCAGTTCCTTCCATCACGGAGAAGTGGGAGTGTATGAATACAGGCGAGGGAAGTGCTGCCAGCTTTGTGTTTACTGTCTCTGGTGCACTGATAGGTAGATGCATCGCCTCCTAGACTGTAAATAACCCAGTAGACACCCAACGTCACATCTAAATGTAGTTCAACTTGCATTGTTTGATGGAAAAATTGCAGTGAGTTCGAACATCCGTGGTCTTCTATATAGATGATGCCAGCTATTATTTTTATATCAGACTTGAATTACATGAGTGTCCCATGATCATTTTCCCTCACTGTGGAGTGCTTCTCCCCTTGTCTTTGCTCCAGGACACCTGAGGGATGTGAGATGATTCCTAAGAGGACAAATCACCACAGTGATTCTTGGCAGGAGAGTAGAGGGGGACAGAATCTCAGGTTGCCTTGTAGATAAATCTCAAATGCAGCCATATGGGGGATAGGCCTACCCTCTCCTCATTTTGGGAAGTCATCTTGTAAAGATGGGAGCTAAGGAGAAATACAAGAGAGTGCTGTTCATCCTGGAGTGGGAGATGAATGAGCAAGCTGTAAGAGCATTCTCCATTTCTTCAACGTTTCCTTCAACCTTCTCTTTAAAAGCAAATAAGGAGAAAAGGAAGCAGTGGGAGGGAGTAAACTGAATCCATAAACTCTCGTGCCAAGCAGAGGCTTCAAAGAATGTGAAATGGAGGATTAGACCGTCTCTTGGTTTGGAGAGTTTTCTAGCTTTCCCAGTAGAAGGGAGAATACAAAGAAGGCACCTCGGAAAATACTCACCTTTCTTATTAGGGAACACATCCCAGAGATTTGAGCAGTGAGTTCGTTCTAATGGTCATCAGAGTATACTGCTTGGGTGTGGCACAAAAATATCAAATGACACTTTATGCTATTTCTATATTATGTTCCTTAAAAGAGAACCAGTTGGTACAAACAATATACAACAGACATTTTAGTATATCTAATTTTTTGTTTGGAACTGTTCTTGTTTCCTGCTATGTTACAGCCCTACACAGTGTCACATTTGAAACTTTGTGCTGGAATCATGATAACCGCCTCTCACAATCCGAAGGAGGACAATGGTTATAAGGTACTTGTGTTTTTCTGTCCACATATATGTCCTTCTGTAAGAATCCTGCCCCTTTACGGGTTGGGAGCCTAGGGAACGGATGCTTTCTGTTAGCCCTAAACCCTCTCGATATGTTCCCACGTTCTCCAGGTCTATTGGGAGAATGGAGCTCAGATCATCTCTCCCCATGATCAAGAGATTTCTCAGGCTATTGAGGACAATCTAGAGCCGTGGCCTCAAGCCTGGGATGACTCTGTAATTAATGGCAGCCCACTCCTTCACGACCCAAGTGCCTCCATCAATAAGGACTACTTTGAAGACCTTAAAAAATACTGCTTTCACAGGTAAGTGGATTGTAAACTCACTCCAAGTGAGTTAAATTAATGTGCTTCAGCCGAATTCTATCAGTTTCCATTAAATTTTCCTCTTCAATTGGTACATACTGTAGCTGCATCTGATTTTAGAGGCTGTGGATCAGGGGTTGGCAACTTTTCTTAAAAAGGCAGGTAATAAATATTTTTGGCTTTGAGAACTGTACAAACTACTTCTCAGCTGCTCAACTCTGCCGCTGTAGTAGGAAAGCAGCCGTAGATGATAGGGAAATGACTGAGTGCAAACGTAGCTGTGTTCAAAAAAGGTTTTCTTAAAAAAGGAAAAAAGTTTTATTTATAAAAGCAAGTGGTTGGCCCACAGGCCATAGATTGCTGACCTCTGTGGTAGGTTCATATATTTCTGTATGTGTATTTGTTTATGTGTGTGTGTGTCTATAGATGTGTAAAAAACCTTGCTGAGAGGTGGTGAATAGGTAGCACTGACATTTTTTGTCTTTCCAGAAATTTTCTGTGCATATGCAAACACACATGCATAATATATTCGAAAACCGTACATAGGACTATAGTGTGTGTGTACCTTGTTCTATGCCCTTCTCCCCAACTTAGTCCGTCGTGGGTCCCTTCTGTGTTAGCCCCTATTCGTCCTGATCATTTAATGGCTGCTGTACCCATTTATTTAACCCAGTGACGCAGACTCGATGCAGTCAGGTTAGAGGCAGATTAGCTCAGTGACAGTGTTATCCTTCCCTAGTGTGCTCCAGGTCCCACCGTGCTCGATTGTCCCCATCAAGAAACCAGTGATTTTAAAGGAGCGGAATTTCTAGGTTGTCGCTAATATTGTATTTGTTGGACCACCTGGGAGTGGAGGCTCCTGTGTAGAATGTGGAAACCCAGGCCCATCTGAAGGGAGCGGCCATGCCAGCTGGGTGTTAGTTACCATGTGCAAATGTAGGGACAGAGTTGCCAAATCATCTGATTTTTTTCTCCCTGAGAGACACTAGAAACCTAAATAGTCTATGTGATATCTCTTAAGTTTTAAACGTGGGGGACCATTTTTTAAATGGTGTATAATCCAAACAAAGCATATCTTGGAACCTTCCCTCTTTCCCTCTGATTGAACTTCACAAAGACGGGGGGAGGTTCCAGTTTACTACTCCAAGGAGCACTGGTATCAACATCCTTGAGCACAGGTCCTCGAGTCCTTGTGTGTGTATACACGTGCTCATGTGCATCCTCAGGTACATCTCCAGCATCCGCATCAGAATTGTATAAGCAGGCCGACCCTGTGGCCAAGTGGTTGGGTTCGGGCGCTTCGCTTAGGCTGCCCAGGATTTCACCGGTTCGGATCCTGGGCGTGAACATGGCACTGCTCATCAAGCCATGCTGAGGCGGCGTCCCACATGTCACAACTGGAAGGACCCACAACTAAAAAATATGCAACTATGTACCTGGGGGCTCTGAGGAGAAAAGGGAAAAATAAAATTAAAAAAAAAAAAAGAATTGTATAAGCATTTACAAAGTTGATAATGGTTAACAAATGGCCCTCTAAAAATGGTACCCTAGTTGATGCTCCCACCAACAGTTTATGATCCACATATTCTTAGCTACACTGAGGATTATCAAATTTCTCATTTTTCCCAATTTGCTAGATGAAGTAGTGTCTCACTTCATTTGCATTCTTTAATTATAAATAGCCTATATTGCATATTTATCCCATTTTTTATGTATTTGTTCATCTTGTGCACTTGTAAAACCTCTTTGCTTATATAGAAGACCAGTCTTCATTTATTTCAAATATTATTTTCCCTTCTATTGTTACCTTTGGACTTTTTCATTGAATCTTTTTGCTGAACTTTTGTAAAAATTTGATAATGTTTATGAGTTTTTTAATTTAGAACTTCTGGGTTTTGGGTCATACTTAAGGAGACTTTCTTTACACCAAGATTTTTTTTTAATCCCTCTTGTTTTTTCCCAGGACTGGCATGTTTGCATTTTGTAGTATTTAAATCTTTTGAGTCAGTGGTGATTTTTAATTTTGTAAGCAGATTAGGTTTTTTTTCTAAATGGTTTGCAGTTGTACCAACACATTAAAATGAAGAATCTGTCTTTCTTTAACTAATTGGTAATGTCACCTTTATCACACAATTTCTAACACTAATTGAGTGCTTATCATAGATCAGATAACTGCTGTTGGCCCTTCACTTGTACTAGTTAATTTAATCTCATTTTAATCCTCACAGTAACACTCAGGGTAAATTCTGGTATATTGGCATTTTATAGATGAGAATACTGCGACACAGAGAGGTTACGGAAATAACCAGCAGTCACACAGCTTGTAAGTGGCAGAGCTCTAGGGTTTAAATTCAGAGTCTGTCTCCAAATCATGTTAACCATGAAGACTTATGCTTTTCATAGATATTTCCCATTTCAAATCAGATCAGCTTCTGGACTCTCCATTCTGTTCCTTTTCTCTATCTTTTTATATCTCGTACCAAACTATTCTAATTGCCATAGCTTTATAATTCATTTTACTATCTGAGAGCTTTGTCTCCAGCTTTGTTCTCACTAAGCTTGCACATTTATTTTTCCAGATGCATTTTATTTGAAGGATATGCTTGTTTTAAACCACTGTTCTCTTAGAGAAGACCCTGTTCACTTATTCATTTCCAAAAGAAAATGGCCAATAACCTAAGATTCTAGCAGTCAGAGCACTGGAATTTTTTAAAGCCTACGTTTACCTTTCTGTAACTGCTATTGTTAATTTTGATGTCTGTTGTTATTCTGTGTTAAGTTCCTAGATCAGGGCACTTGGCTGAACAGGATTGTTACTTGATAAAGAAAATTTATATATATATATATATATATATATATATATACACACATCAATGTATGCGATGTTCCATCACATTTTGTTAAAATGGACATTTTGAAAATCATTTCTGAGGCTAGTAAAGAGGATTTGGAGCCCTGGAGCTGGCACTGCCATGGGCGGGTATCCCCTGGGCTGGCTGTGAGTCTCTTCTAGAATCTGAGCCCGAGGTTCTTTCTTTTATCCCTCTCTAGGTGAGAAAGCTGTAGCATAAAACAAAATCTAAAAGTAATCAGCTTTGCTGAAAATAACTACAGAGTAAACTTTTAAACTTGAATAGGGTGGGGAAGGGGTGTATGTTGAGAGTATAGGTAAGTTTTGTTTCATTTTTTTAAATGTAATTAGAAAAATACTCAGTCGTCTCAAACATTCTTATTCCATTGATTTCTTACATTCTTAGGAATCTGCTCCCTTGATATTTTTGAAATCTTCCAGTTTCAAGAGCCGCATTTGTCTATTTTGTCATTTTCCGTGATGGGTCTCATTCTAGGAGTGTGAACAGGGAGACCAAGCTGAAGTTTGTGCACACGGCTGTCCACGGTGTGGGTCACAACTTCGTGCAGTCTGCGTTTAGAGCCTTTGACTTCGTTCCCCCCGCGGCTGTCCCCGAACAGAAGGATCCCGACCCCGAGTTCCCAACCGTGAAATACCCGAATCCCGAAGAGGGTGAAGGAGTCTTGGTAACCTAATTGTTTTTATTATAAAATTTACCTTTTATATTCAAAACTGAATCTCATTCAAAAATTAATTCAAAAACTACTATGAAGTAAAATAAGTTTTTATGTGTTTTCATTGTGCTGAACCAAAAAATAATTTCATCATTGGAAATATTTATTAGTCATCCATTTTTTGACGGAACTTTCAACTTAGATGTCTCAGCCTCAGGATGTGAGAGCTGAAATCTAAATGACGTTTTAAATTTAATCAATTTAATTTAATTTCGGTTTCAATTTACTGTGCTTCCTTAATGCCAAAAAGAAACAGTAACAGAATGGAGGTTTACCACATGATTTTCATTCCTCAGTTGTCATTTTTTTGATATGAAGATGTGCTATTTAAATTATGGTCCCTTTAACCTTTTTAAAGGTTAGGGTAACCATGATATTCAGAGAGTTGGTTTATTTTGGTTTGTTTGTGGGTTGATCACAAGGCAAAGCCTAGAAATACCAGTGCAGCCACACACACGCTGTCAGATGAGGGGCAAATCCCCTGGGCCTGTGTGGGTCACATGTTGATGCTCCCATTATCTGACCTCTGGCTTAGGAGGTAATACGTGATTAGCCAAGACCAGCTCCAGGAACAAAACTCAGCCTTAGTTTAAGGAAAGTCCTCCTTTAGGTCTTAAATAACTGAATATTGCCATTTTTAAAGATTGCAATGTGCTCAATTCTTTTTTTTGTTGTTGTTTTTTGAGGAAGCTTAGCCATGAACTAACATCTGCTGAGGAAGATGTTAGTTTTTTTTGCTGAGGAAGAGACTGGCCCTTAGTTAACATCCATGCCCATCTTCCTCTACTTTATATGTAGGACACCTACCACAACATGGCTTGCCAAGCGGTGCCATGTCCGCACCTGGGATCCGAATCAGCGCACTCCGGGCCGCTGAAGCAGAATGTGCGCACTTAACTGCTGCACCACCGGGCCAACCCCGTCAATTCTTGATTGAAGTAGTCTTTTCTTTTCCTACTCTTTTTCAGACTTTATCTTTTGCTTTGGCTGACAAAACGAAGGCCAAAATCATTTTAGCCAACGACCCAGATGCTGATAGACTTGCTGTGGCAGAGAAACAAGACAGGTACAATTAATTGTGGTTATCTATCTAATAGAAAATATAAAGGGTGACATCTTGGGCAGTAAAATGTTCCTGGGGAGACTGGACCTAGTTGGAGATATTTCCCATTTGTTTTGAAAATGATCCTCTCACTGAACCGCTAACATAACGCAACGGGGCTGCCGTGGGGGCCGCATGATGGGCAGGCATATCACAGAGTCAAGCAGCCTAGTATGTGTTTGGAACTGAAATTCCTATTTGTTATCTTCTCTTATTTTATCACTGATTTCATTATAATTAATGACTCAATGCCTGATGAGGGCAAAGTACTTTGCTTGGTGCTGACTTTGCAGTTCAGTATTTGCTGAAGGGTTTGGTAAGGAGCTGGACCTTCAAGCAAATGTTGGATTTAGGTTGAGCAGGCCAGAGAGAAATACCTGCGGGGTGCTGACACAGTGTTTAAGACAAGTTTGACCGCGGAGTTTTTACAGAAGAGTAGTGGTAAGTTAGGAGGGGCGGAGGGAGTTGAAAGGTGAGCAGGGTCCAGGCAGTTTTTGGGTGTCAAACAGTATATGTGATGTTTTGGGGCAGTGAGGTGCTGCCAAAGGGTTAGGGTTTTAGATTATGATAAAACAGGTTCGATTCTATATGCGTTTTTAGAAAAGTAAGCTAGGGTGATACTCGCTGAAATGGGAGATGTACTTCTAGCCACCTGGGTTACAGAGAGGAACCTAATCACACACCTGTTCTCTGGTGTCCTCACTGTTTTAGCACCAAGCTCGATCTTAAAGAAAGCCACGTACTGCCCTCTCAGGATCAGCAATACTGACCAGACCAAAAATCAAGCTACACAAACTATTATACTAGGGGGCTCTTGCCAGCATATTTCTGTTATGTTTCAGACTAAGATAAAAGCATTATGTGTCCTCACTGACATACTTATTTTATATGCTCTTCAAAGATAGGATGTTTGTCTGGACAAACTGGCTGAGACATGGTAGCTGCTTAGATGTTTGTGAAGTGGCGGTCAGCTTTCTGGCCCATTATTTAAGCAAGAATAAGAACAGTCTTGCAGAAACTACTGTGAGGCTTCTTTGGCTTAATCGTCCTATCCCAGTGTCTTCCAGTGTCTTTCTTAAGATCGCAGCAATGCATAGGTTGTTTTTTTCTTTCAGTGGTGAATGGAGAGTGTTTTCAGGCAATGAGTTGGGGGCCCTCTTGGGCTGGTGGCTCTTTACTTCTTGGAAAGAAAAGAACCAAGATCCCAGTGCCCTCAAAGACACGTACATGTTGTCCAGCACAGTCTCCTCCAAAATCTTGAGGGCCATTGCCTTAAAGGAGGGTTTTCACTTCGAGGTAAGGTGTTGGCGGCACGTGCTCTTTTCCCTTTCTTTCGCTCTGTAGAAAGTCTAAGGCATTTCTTTCTCTTATGGATTATCTCTTTAGGAAACATTAACTGGCTTTAAGTGGATGGGAAACCGAGCCAAACAGCTAATAGACCAAGGGAAAAATGTCTTATTTGCATTTGAAGAAGCCATCGGTAAGAAGGGATAATGATGATCATGGAATCAGTTAGTACATAGAATGCAAATAAATGGGAAAAGATTTGGAATTGGATTTGAGTCCAAAAGATGAACAGTGCAACAGGGGCACACAGTTTGCTTTGCTTCTGGGATGCTTAAAGAGCACTGAACCGTCCTACCCCAAAATTGGCATCTCAGATGTTTTTCAGCTAAAAAGAATTTCTCACAAATAACCAAGCCATTAATTTAAGCAACTGGATCCTCTCCCCAGATGACTGAAAACAGTGGTGTTCCACACATGGCTGCTAGTAGCTTAGGAATCCACATATTTTGATATTTTCTCAACTGTGGTGTTGATATACAGGCCTAATATGATATACATACTCCCATCAAAAGTGCTGTGTGTAGGTCCATCCAGGGGATAGGAGAAGGCACAGTTGTGGTGCTTTCGTCAAAGTGATTGTCACCTGCAAGGACGACCTCACGTCCAGCCAGAATGACTAAAAACGCTTGTCTTAAATTATCAATAGAAATTAGCAGAAAGAAGGAGAGCTAGCTATGAAAACTAGATTCATAGTTCTATGAAGTTCAGATGCTTGTGCTAGGAATATTTTAGTTATTAGTTCAATAGGAGCTATGATACATTATGCTTATTATATAATATACATTCTTCTGGTTCACCCGTATATGCCCTGCAGCACAGACACATGCACATCATTTAACTAATTCATTGAAGTAAATAGCTCAGCTTTTGTTGTCAAAATTGGCAGTCTTGTCTTTCTATAGCTTTTTATTTAAAATAATTTTTTCTAATGTCTGTTTACCAAATATTTATTGCATAGCAATTACTTAGACTCTGAAAGAGATGGATGAGACTGACCTTAGCCTACAGCAGTTTGTATAGATCTAGTTAAGGAACCACACAAAAGATTATAGGCCAGGTGTCAAGATGAAAAATGAACTCACAAGAACTAAGGGGATTCAGAGAAGACAGAATAAACATTGACTAGAACAATTGGAAACAGTTTAATGTGAGCTGGAGGGCTTTGCGCTGGACCTAGAGAATGAGCATGATTTGTCGAAGAGGGAGAATCTCCTTACAGGTTATTCAACAAGTACTTCTTGAAGGCCTGCTATGCGCTAGGCACTGGGCTAGAGTCTTAAACGTAATGGTGGGCAATGAGAAGCAGCCACACTCTCGTACTGTACAACCTCCTATGCGATAGGCAGGATGCATTTAGATATGTGCACGCACAGTGTTGTAAAGGAGCCCCGTTCTAAGGGTGTATGTGCGACACGTGTTTCTGCAGGATATATGTGCTGCCCTTTTGTTCTGGACAAAGATGGAGTCAGTGCCGCTGTCATAAGCGCAGAGTTGGCTAGCTTTCTAGCAACCAAGAATTTGTCTTTGTCTCAGCAGCTAAAGGCCATCTATGTTGAGTAAGTTTCTATTAACTCTCTTTAACTGAGGTAATTTTTTTTATTAGTTTCAAATGTACAACATAATGATTCAATGTATGTATATATTTTGAAATGATCGCCACAATAAGTCTGGCTAACCTGTATCACCGACATAGGGCTCTTTTTAAATGTTTTATGTTCTTTTGCATGAAACAGTAATATTCTTTTGAATGCTCTTACTTTAGCTATGAATTGTTCCTTATGAAAACTAAGTAAGAGATCACTTTTTCCTTTCGATACTTAACCACTTAGTAGTATTACCCTTTGTGATTGCATTAATCCTTAACAAATGAGAACATTAGTCACGGAAATGGTGAAGTGAAGAATGTAATTTTCAGTGTCTGAGGTCAAAAAAGATTAAATGTGTTCATGAAACATCTATTTAGTCTTTAACTTCATTGCTCAGCTCTGCCTTTGTAGTGCAGAAACAGCCGGGGACAATACATAATGTAATGGGTGTGGGGTGGCTGTGTTCCAGTAGATCTTTTACTTAAAAATACAGGCCGAAGGCCAGGCAGCAGTTTGGCAATCCCTGGGGGAGATTATTGTACCTTTTTTTAATGTTAAATTATCCCTTTGAAGTTAGTCATGGTTATTTCATTTAGTTTAGAATATAATGGTTAATACATAGTGTATGTACACCATGTGGAATTATTTTTTCCCATTTTGCATTTCTTCTTTTGTTGAGATATAATTAACATAGAACATTATATTAGCTTCAGGTGTACAGTGTAATTATTTGATAATTGTATATATTGCAGATTGATCACCACCATAAGACTAGTTAACATCCATCACCACACATAGTTATAAATTTTTTTCTTGTGATGAGAACTTTTAAGGTCTATTCTCTTAGCAACCTTCAAATATACAATACAGTATTATTAATTCTAGTCACCGTGCTGTGTATTATATCCTCATGACCCATTTTATTATTTTGTTTCGAAAGGTATGGCTACCATATTACCAAAGCTTCATATTTTATCTGCTATGATCAAGACACCATTAAAAAATTGTTTGAAAACCTTAGAAACTACGATGGGAAGAATAATTATCCAAAAACTTGTGGCAGATTTGAAATTTCTGGCGTTAGGGACCTTACAACTGGCTATGATGATAGCCAGCCTGATAAAAAAGCTGTAAGTAATGTCTACTTTTGTCAAACTCTTCTCTTTACCTTCTATTATACTCTGAATAGCTAACTTATTTAATCATATAATTAATTGAAGCTGATTTTAGGCATGTAGGCATTACTTTAAATTAGCTATAAAAATACATAAAAAGTTGGGGCTGGCCCCGTGGCCGAGTGGTTGGGTTCGTGCGCTCCGCTGCAGGCGGCCCAGTGTTTCGTTGGTTCGAATCCTGGGCGCGGACATGGCACTGCTCATCAAACCACGCTGAGGCAGCGTCCCACATACCACAACTAGAGGAATCCACAACGAAGAATATACAACTATGTGCCGGGGGGTGTTGGGGAGAAAAAGGAAATAATAAAATCTTTAAAAAAAAAAAATACATAGAAAGTTAAAAATCTTGCGTTAGAACTAAAAGCATTGTCACTAGTCATCTAAGCCAACACTGTCATTTAACACACTAGGAAATAAACACTCAGAAGTGCAGGATCTGCCTGCAGTCACACAGCTAGTTGGTGATGGTCTGGGTAGAAACTGGGTCTTCTGATTCCGGATCCAGCTTTTCCTCTCTCTCAGCAGTTATTGAACTTCAGCAAGCATCAGAATCACCTGGCTGCCTGGTTAAAAGACCAAGTGCCGCAGCCCACCCCTGGCGTTTCTGATTGAGTAGATCGGGGGGGGGGGGGGGGGCAAGAATTTGCCTTTCTGACAAGTTCCAGCTGGTGCTGAGGCTACTGGTCCACACTTGGAAAACCACAGTTTGCTTTCCCGCTAGTTTTATGCGACTGTCTGAATGTATGGCAGCTGTTAGCTGTAAAGCATGAGTTTGTGTTCTTCACAACATGTGGATTCCCCACTGGAGTCACAAGAAGGCTCAAATATGGCAGAAGAGTATCATTAACCATGGCAGGGGGAAGGGAAGGAGAGTAAGAATCTCAATGTTAGACATTTTCTTTGATATTTACCTTCTTATATGTTTTTATTTTCAACTGCTCACAATATAGTTGAAAAGACAAATAGTATTAAAAGGGCTGTGATGAAACCATGGCAGTTGTAATCCCTACCATCTCATTGCCATGTGCCGAGGCAGCCACTGTGCCCCTCAGTTGTCTCTCCTGGTATTTACCACCAAATTTCTAAATAATGTGCTCATATGGTAACGTGTGGACTTATCAGTGTTGGGCTTTATTAATTTTCTATTATAAAGATAAGGATTTAGTTCTTACACGACCCACATCCACTATTCCCCCTTCTCCCCTAACCTCAAAATGCATTTATACCACAACTTTTGGTGACATCAGATCCCGTGCTTGTATGATTATAATTAGTAGCTATTGTTTCCTGCTTAGTTAAGTAGTGTACTTTGATTGGGTTCCCCTGATTTGTATAAAAAATTATTTTTCCTAGCATTAATAGTTGCTTTGTTCTTTTTTTTTTAAAGATTGGCACCTGAGCTAACATCTGTTGCCAATCTTCTTTTTTTCTTTACTCTCCCCAAAGCCCCCCAGTACGTAGTTGTATATTCTAGTCGTAGGTCCTTCTGGTTGTGCTGTGTGGGACGCCACCTCAGCATGGCTTGATGAGCGGTGCCATGTCCACACCCAGGATCCAAACAGGTGAAACCCTGGGCCACCGAAGCAGAGCGAGCGAACTTAACCACTCGGCCACGGGGCTGGCCCTGCTTTGCTCTTTCTTTTGGCTCGATTTCTCTAACTGTCGCCAGTTCTTCCCACGTCCTTCAAATACCTTTCAGTAGGGTTTTCCACATGGTCCAATAATTCAGCTATTCTATCGGTTCCATTTTGTTTCAGTGACCTCCCCCCGGTCCCTCCATCCAGCAAGGCCAGCTCCTCTCTGGGTTGGGTGCACAGTGTCATTCTGGAAATGCTCTTCTCCACTCACTGGGGTTGAGGCCTTTGCTCCTGGACCCCATGACTTCCTCTTTTTTATATTTATTTTCCTAAATCACACCCTCTAGTAGCATCCTAAGAAAAAGTGAATGGGAGGTAAATTTTTGGAGGCCTTTAGGTCTAAAGATGTCGTATTCTACCCTCACACTTTATTGACTCCCAGGTTTAAAAGCATCACTCATTATTGTTTAGTTTCCAGGGTGGCTGTTGAGCAGTCATTCATTCATTCAGGACCTAGTGAGCCTACAGTGTGCAGCATCCAAGGATGTTGATGTCGTACTTACTCAGTCCTTTCCTTGCAACTTGTTTATTTCTCTATGGGAAGGTTTTAGGAACTTTCCACTAAACTTTGGGTTCTGTAATTTTAGTGATGTACTTTAGTATGGGTCTCTTTTCGTTCATTTTTCTAGACGGTTGGTGGGTCTTTGTTGATCTGTAGAATCAGTTCTTTCAGTTCTGAGAAATTTTCTTGATTTTGTGTCAAAGAAGGAGGCTGGGCAGTTTTCACCTGCATTTTCTCTTCTCCATTCCCTCTTCTCCATCGTCTGCATTTCCTGCTCTGCCTTTCCTGACAACTTCTTAGTTAGATGCTGGCTCTCCAGGACCAATACTCTGCTTTCCATGTTTCTTTCTTTCCTATTGTCCGTCTGTATCTTCTTGTCCTACTTTTGGGGAGATTTTCTCAACATTAACTTTCAGTGCTTCTGTTGAGTATTTATTTCAGTTCTTATTCTCTAGTTTATTAAAAATAACATCCTATTCTTATTTCATGTAGATAATATCTCAGTTCTTTTGAGGATATTAATTATAGCTTTTTAAAAATGTAGATCTTTTTTCCTCTGTATTGTCTTTATTTCCTCCAAGTTTTTTGTTTGTTTGTTTTGGAATTTGTCGTGTATCTCATGTCTTTTCCCCAGCGTCTAGTGATCCTTAATTGTTCTTTGGGCACTAAAAAGCTGGTTGGAAGCTCTGTGTACAAGCACAATCCTTGTCAACTGCATACTTCACTCTATGGAGACTGGGTATCAAATTAACGTTTATATGGGGGCTTCCATCTGGGGAGGCCTGACTCTCACCCTCATCTCCCACCTGAGGGCTGTAAGTTGGGCTGCTGAGGCCCCAGAAGCAGTGGAGAGGTGCGGGGGCATGGCGGAGGAGTGCTAGCCTTCAGTGTGGACTCTGGCTTACTCTCTGTCTTCACCATACTCTGCCCTCCACGATGCCTCCTGTCCCCAGCTCCTGAGCCTTTCTGGTTCAGTTATACTAGAGATTTAAACCATCCCCTGATGAGGTGGTTTGGTGACTGCGTGGGCAGAGGGTGAGGATCTGGGCAGGCCTCATACCTCCATTCAAATCCTACCTTTGTCTCGCCCCTGCCCTTTGCAGTCCCTGCTGCCTCCAGGTAGTGAGCTTTGCCAGAGTTCTGCCGAGCACCTTGACCGGTTCTTGTCTGTCTCCTGCAGATGCTCAGCTGTCATTGTCCTCATTCCATCAGATCAGTTCTGCTCCTCCATCTGTTTTCTGGCTTCTAGCATTAGTTGGCAACCCCATCAACTGCTGTTTCCTATTTTCTTCTTTGCCCTTGTGTTTTTTTTTTTTACTTCTATCATTTTAGTGGAGTTGGGGGAGCAATTAGCTATGAATACATCCTCCAGAAGCTTTATCTTACACAAAAAAAAGTCTATGGAGAGATTCTCTCCATAGACTTTTTTTTTGCAAAGTGAAATAAGGTCTAGTGTTGTGGGGGGTTTTTTTTGTAATGTATTATTAATCATTCAAATCATTTTCTTATGAATTCTAGTAAAACTTTAGTAGCTTTAATTAGTAGAACCAGGGAAGTAAAAAACTAATATATAAAGTTACTTAATTTTTTACAAATCGCCTTATTATAATTATTTAGTATTTCATTCATATGGAGTACATTTTTTGATTTCCTCAAAAATGTTCTTTTCTAACCAATGTGTTTGGCATTTCTTTTCATGCTTATCCAGGGGAAAATAGTTAGACTAGAACAGTTTATGTTCCTATTTAACTTTATAACGTTTGTAAATTAATTCCTAGGTCCTCCCTACTAGTAAAAGCAGCCAAATGATCACCTTTACCTTTGCTAATGGAGGCGTGGCCACCATGCGGACCAGTGGGACAGAGCCCAAAATCAAGTACTATTCAGAGCTGTGTGCCCCCCCTGGAAATAGGTATGATGTGTGTGGCAGCTGCTGTCATTTTTAGTCTCCAACGTCCTAATTGGTTCAATTCAAATGCTAAGTAAAACATTTCATCTTTCCAATACGTAGTTCAATTAGGAAGCTTGTTGCAGGACCTGCAGCAATATCGTGATCGTAAGAGCTGGTTGGAGTGTTCCGGGACAAGAGTGCTTGCTTCCTACTTAATTACTTATTTCTTTTCTAACTTCCTTTGTATGGAAAAATTTGATTTCTAATTTCAGTCATAGTAACAAAATTTCCTTTTTCTAGTACTTTTTATTTGAAGCTAGGACCAATGCGTTTTTCTCTTTTTCTCCATATCTCTGACACAATAAATTAAAATCCATTGCACACGCATTCAGCAAATATCTCTGAGCACCTATTGTGCATAAGTCTGTGCTGGGTCCTGGTGGGGATAAAGAGCCCTATCAAAAAGAGTCCTTGCCACCAAAGAACTGATGGTCTGGTAGCTTCAGAATCATGTTTTTGTGATCTTGGGTTGGAGTTGGTCATTTTCCAACAACCGTAACACGTGTAGTTAGCACGTGTAAATATGGTTTTGCATACCTATTTAACACTCAGTTAACTAGCACTCCCTATTCAGAAGGCAGTTAAGAATGAGGTAGTATTTTTTTTAAAGGTGAATTAAGTCAAGACAGTTCAGTAGAAATAAAATGTGAGCCACGTAGGCAATTGGAAATTTTCTGCTAGACACATTTTTAAATAGAGTCATGTGCTGCATAACAATGTTTTGGTCAATGACAGACCACATATGTGACAGTGGTCCCATAAGATTAGAACCATACAGCCTAGGTGTGTAGTAGGCTGTGCGATCTAGGTTTGTGTAAGTACACTCTATGATGTGCACACGATGACCGAATTGCCTGATGACTCATTTCTCAGAACATATCCCTGTCGTTAAGTGACACGTGACTGTAATGAAAAGAAATAGGTAAAATTATTATTATTATTATTATTTTCGTTTGGTGAGGAAGACTGGCCCTGAGCTAACATCTGTACCAATCTTCCTCTATTTTGTATATGAGATGCTGCCACACAGCATGGCTTGATGAATGATGTGTAGGTCTGTGCCCAGGATTCGAACCAGTGAACCCCAGGCCACAGAAGCAGAGTGTGTAAATTTAACCACTATGCCACTGGGTGGCCCCATAAAATTAATTTTAATAATATGTTTTATAACTTAGAATATTAAAATATTATCATTACAACATATAATCCACATAAAAATTATTAATGAGATCTTTCACTTTTTTCCACAGTGTCTTTATTTTATACTTACCACATATCTCAATTCAAATGCTAAATTTTTTCAGAAATACTTGATCTGTATTTAGAGTTCATTAAATTTACACTTGAAAAAGCAGATTTTAATACCTAGGTTGCTCCAAAAGTACCTGTTTTCCAATAACTGAATCAAACGTTAGTTTTAAATTTGAATTTTAACTAAGTAAACTTTTATTAAATTAAAAATTCAGTTCCTCAGTTGCACTCCACATTTCAAGCGCTCCATAGCTGCAGGTGGCTAATGGCTACTGCAGAAGACAGCACGGGTCTAGGTAGTTGTTAGAACATACATAAACCAAAGCTCTGCTCACAGAGGAGTTTTTCTGACCTTGTGAATCAAATTTGCACCATGTGGAAATAAAAGCAGAGGAAAATTTTTGAGCTTCTTAAATCGGCAAGCCAACAGGCAGATTAAATGTAGCAAATTAGAGCAGTAAGGAAAGAATTGTTACAGGTAGGCTTTTCTTAGGCAGACAGAAGGGAGTCCTGGTAGCAAAGGAAGAAATGTTAGAGCAAAACAAAACTATAAAACATGGATACAAGGACTCCTTATGTTCACCCTTCCGCCAGTTTATCATGGGGCCATGGCGTTCCACACCCAAATGGGCCCTGGTTCTTCTGAATAAGAGCACCAGGCCAACTGTCAAAGTCATGACGGTGGCCCTCAGACCTCACGATCTTCAAACATATTGAAGAAATCATGGCACTGTGGAAGAAATTTTGCTATGGATTCCCATTTAAAACCTTTTTGTGCTCAAAGGCAAAAACTCAACTATTAAGCAACTTCAACAAACACATAAAATAGCTCATTTTTCTACATGTTCTGTATTACGAACATTTTATTGTAATATTGTGCATGTATCAATCTTTCCATCTGTGTTACATAATAAGCTATTTGTTACTATATTGAGTATGGTTTTTCATTGATGTTTTCGGTAATTCTCCTTAGTACTTTCATATTTCTACATCTCATTCTTTTGAAAACGAGTGGACATTAGTCCAATTTAAAGATGTTTTCTCTACATATTTGTCTTTTCTTTTTCATTATCTTGTGAAAATGTATCTAATATTTCAGAAAACTTTCCTTTATAATAACAATACTATTTAATGTTTAAGGACTTACAGTATTTACATTTTTCATGTGGCTTATTGAGTGGACTTGAATTCAAATATTAATTCATAAATTGCTGAAAATAGTTTGAAAAATTGTCCTTTTATTATATTCACTGAAATGCTGCTTGCATTTATTAAATGGGACCTTGGGTAGCAGGCCAGTCAGTGGATCTGCTGTCTGTGCTCAGGCAAGTCAGCACAGCTAACGCACAGCGGCAGTAAAGCCCTGGCTGAGCTTTCCTTATTTTCGGATAACCTTAAATATTATTAATATATTTTATATCATGAACATCATTGATTCATAGAATTCCACAACTTACTAATCCTTTAGAATGGAAAATCCTTTCAAGTATAAGTCTTGCTTTTAAAAAATATTTTTGTTGGGGTAAATGTCTTTAGTTTTCTCCAACTTTTTATTTTGAAAAATTTCAAACCTACAGAAATGGTGAAATAATAGCGAAGCAAATACCCACATACCCTTTACTTGGACCAGGGATTGGCAAACTTTCAGTAAAGAGCCACATAGTAGATATTTTAGGGTTTACAGATCGTATGATCTGTGTTACAACTCCTCAGCTCTGTTGTTATAGCAGGGAAAACAGCCGTATATATAAAGGAGTGGGTGTGGCTATGTTCTAATAAAACTTTATTTGCAAAAACAGGCCACAATCTGTAGTTTGCCTACCCCAGCCTAGACTCAGCAGTATCTTGTGATTTTTGCTCTCTCTCTCCATATATATTTTATTTGGGTTTTTTTTTTTTCTTCTGAGCCATTTGAAAGAAAGCCATGGACCTCAGTATGCATCTCCTAAGAACAAGGACATTCTTTTACGATCTCAAGGTTTAGATAATAATTAGACAGAGTTCTAACAGAGAAACAAACTGGTAGGAGATATATGTACACACATACGTAGATGTATAGAAAATTCACTGATGAGTTTTAGTTTTAGGTATATTGTAAAAACAAAACAAAACAATAGTTATGTGCCTTCCTGAGAACTGTTATTTTCATCAAAGCACATTTATGGGGAAGGAAAAAAAGAACTGTGTGATTCATATGTGCTTATGAAGCATAATTACCTTATATGTTACCAGTGGGGATAAAAATAATTATAATGGTAGCTACATTTATTGAGGTTTTTGGGCCAGGTTCTGTGCTAATTGCTTTATATAATTTATCTCAATCTGTACAACTCTCTTGAGAAGATGAAGTCTTTATCCCAATTTTATAAATGAGGAATCTGGGCCTTCAAGAGGCTATTTGCCCAAGGGCACACAGCTAGTAAGTAGAAGAGCCAGAATTAATGTCTGTAATAAAATGGATTGTTTTAGTTGTACTGGCTAGCTATTACAATGTAAAAATGATCTTAACTAAATTGCAAGGATTGCAATTTTCATTAAAATAAAGTTTGCATATATTAAAGATGGTCAAGTATGAAGTAATGAAAGTTGGAATTGAAGGATTTAGTTTTTTTAATTCAGCTTTTTTGTCTTTAAGTACTTAGAGTAATTCACATTCTGTTAGTAGCCCAACATAGAAGCTGCTGGAAACCTGTCTAATTACAATTATGTTTTATCTATTATCAACCTTCTAATTGTTTGCATATAAATTAGTATTTTCCATGTGCTTGAAAACTTGATTTCCTTAAAGGGATCTGGTTCCCCAGGTTCTTGTTTATACTTTAGTTGTGACCCTTTTGTTCCGGAGGTAGAATAAAAAAGATAAACCCGAGGCCTGTGAGTTTCAGGGGTGTGACTAGCGGGCCCAGTAGGCGGCTCCCGGTCTCCGTCCATTCTAGGAAGCCTTTCAGATGAGGCTGCAGCTTGGCTTCCAGTAGTTGAGGGCAGACAAGATCAGGAACATTCGTATCCTGGGAGACCGGAGACTTAGAGACGTCGTTTGTAAAAGTTCAGCAAGATGTAGTAACAGCGGGAGTCCTGAAAGTTTTCTCTGCACTAAGTACCAACGTTGTAGCTCTTGTATGGGTGCTAGGCCAAACGTTGCGTTTCTTTAAAACTCTTATGAAAAGTGCAAAGGGATAATTTAGTTTATAGTAGAAACTTGGGGAAAACTTTTGGGGAAAATAATGGATATTGTCTCACGGGAGTTTTTGTCCCAGTTAACAGATGCGTTCCCCTGCTGAAGTCGCTGGAGTTCTGTTTTGTCTGATTTAGCCCTCCTCTTAAGGTTAAATTTTAGTGTTACTTGATCAATGTGGGGAGTTAAAATATGCTTTGGAATAATCCACTCATCTGGAATTTTCTTCCCCTTATTTTCCAGTGATCCTGAGCAGCTGAAGAAAGAACTAAATGAACTAGTCAGTGCTATTGAAGAATGTTTTTTCCAGCCACAGAAGTATAACCTGCAGCCAAAGGCAGAGTGAAATATTCCAGCCTTGGGCGTAATTCCAGTTACATACAATTGAGCTGAACTTGATTTGTTAAGCAATGTTTTTGAGGGCCAAATGATTGAAGCTATCACTACAAGTATTTATATGTTTTTTAATAGACCTACATTCCTCATTGTTCTGTGTTTGATCTTTAAAGTGAATAAAGAAAAGATGGCCAAGACCTAAAAAACCAAGATTCCTATTAAAAGGTTGAGCCTGGGTATTATCTGAATTAAAAAATGAAGATTTTAAAGATAACTAACTTTCAAAAATATATTATAATTAATACGCTTTAATTAGAATAAATAACAAATATGGCTTCTCCATAATTGTTTTTATGAATTATTGAAATAGCCAGAAAACGTATACAGTTACCAAATTCTGGGCTGTCATGTGTAGGATAGCCACTTCTTGGGTATATATATATTTACATTTGTTTACCTTTCTATCAATTGCTTATAAAGTAAAATAAATGAACAGATCAGATGTTGTGTTCATGTTTAGGGGAAATACAATTCACAGGAACCTGTAAAGTGGAGCAAAAGATACTTTAAAAAAATAAGCGTTTTTTGACCTAAAACTTTCTGGTTCTAATAATACACTGTTATACATTGTATATATGCTAGGAAAAAACAGCTTAACCATCTTTGTTCAATGTGTTAACATTCATTTTATCTCTTTAAATCCTGAATCAAACAATTGGCTGTTGGAAACTTGCAAAGTACTTTTTGTCCAGTCTTTGCTGTAGCGCAATTTAATGTAATTCTTGGTCGTGAGGCAGCAGGGACTAGAGGCAATAACTATTTACCTGACTGTAATGTTTTTGCCTTGCTTCTACGTGATTAAAATCTAAAACCGGACTTTATTATAATAGATATCCTTTTCCAGGTTTATTATTTAATCTGTGCCTTCTGCCCTCCTCATAACCGATGGCCTTATAACCTTCCAGAATGACTGCCATTGAGTACCCCTGAGCTAGGACCAAGCTGTTCTTTATATACTTTATATATTTTATATGATTTTCTATTTTTAAAGCAAATGATTACCGATTATTATTCTTCTTCTTCTTAACCTAAATGGTTATTAACAGTTTCAGAACAATGAAAAATGACAATACGATTGATAATGTTTTCTAAAGTAAAGGAAAAAAGGTTTTTATATCTTAGTGATACATAGTTTGTGCCCTACCAGAACTCTTAAACCTGCAATATTCGATAGATTCTAGCAGCTGCTTCATTGTAGAAGCTATGTTTATTTTTGCTTTATACTGTTTTCTAGTCTCAAACTGTACTCTGAAAAAACTGTTAGCACTGTGTCCTCTCTACAAAGAGTTTTTTACCTCAGTTGTAGGTTCACAGTACAATTGAGAGGAAGGTGCAGAGATTTCCCATATGTCCCCTGGCCCCACACACGCACAGCCTCCCCCATTGCCAACATCCCCCTTGAGTGGTACATTTGTTAAAAGTGATGAACCTGCATTGATACATTATTATCACCCAAACTGTGGAGACAGTAAAAGGTCATTGTTTGTCAGGGTTAAGGGGGTAAGGAGGGCTAAATAGGCGGAACAGAGGATTTTCAGGGCAGTGAAAATACTGCGTATGATACTGTAATAGTGAATACGTGTTTTTAAACATTTGTCCAAATTTATAGAACATACAACACCAAGAGTGAACCCTAATGTAAACTGTGGACTTTGGGTGATAATTTTGTTATTTTTAAAATGAAGAAATGTCACTAAATGGTCTCAGAGTTCATTTCATGCTACAGGTCTTTAAATTATGTGGAAATCCATAAAGGGCACTATCCGCAACAATAAATCATTGGCGATTCTCTTGGGCAGAATGCTCAACCAGCCCTCTTAGAAGACCTAAGATCTGAGATAGGAAGAAAAACACTTTGTACCAAAGAGGGGCAGCCTTGTGTTCATAGCGCGCCTTGTCTTGCAGCCTGAAAGGGGTGTGTGCTGAAACTAGGGGCAAGCAGGGCAGAACCACGTGGCCTGCAGATGCCAGGAAGATGTTTTGCAGGGGAGTAAGGCGTGATGAGGAGTGAGCGCAGGCACGGCAGTCCCTCTGCGTGCTAACAGCTAAACCTGCTGGGGGAATGCTGTCCAATTTGAGTGTAGAGGTGACAGCCCATTTTCTTTCGGTTCCTGGAAAGAACAAATCCCAAGTGAAGTCTGAGAGACTGACTTGCAGGAGAAAATGCAGGCCAACTGTTTTTTTTTTTCTCTTTGTGGTCTCTCAGTGAAATAACAGCTGTTCCTCTTTCCTGTAAGAAACGTTGGGAGTGCCTCTCATTTATCTCATCAATTTACCTTAATGCTCATGCTATCGAGAGAAAGTATTGTTATTTCATGACTTTGGAAACCCATGGTTTCAATAAATGCTTTAAGTGATGGAACAAATGTGTATGTCCTACTTTGAAGGGATTTTGAAAGGATGGCATCTAAGTCATATTTGTAATTTCTACATCCTAAAAGACCAAATCCTCAGAGCTATTTGTGGCTTCATTCATATGTTCACTGATTGAGTCATGGTTGAATCCTGCTGTGAGCCAGGGACTTTTCTGCATACTGGTAATAAACATGCATCCTAATCTCAAAGTTAGCCCAGCTTGGAAAACACGCACGTACGCAGATAATTGCAATGTAGTGTGCTGCATTGCAAGATGAAAGTATTTGAGCTGTGGGCAAGCAGTTCAGTAACGCCCCCTTTTGGACCACCTTTTTCAAGATTATCAAGTTGAAATTCCGTACATTTCTGTTCAAAACAGTTTGGCTCTGGGGGGCTATTTGCATATCATTTTCCTGCACCATCGTTTGGTTCCATTCTTGGCCACAAGCATTTGTGTAGATTAACTCAACTGTTGAAAGCAAGATGTCACACTCCTAGGCAGATGAGAATCAAAGTTTAAAATAACATCACTTCTTCCTGAGACTTCTCCATGTAAGCAGAGTGCAATGACGACTCAGATTAACTGCAGGAGAAAGACAACTGTCTGGAGAGGGGAGGCCCTCTGACAAGAGCGCGTGATCACCAGGATGAAGAGCAGCGTTGGAGAATCTGGCCTCTATTGACCTGCCTCCCTTGCGTAGGTCCTTGAAAATAAACTTGAGAAACAGCTGTCACACCTTCCACTCAGGTCCAGTTAAAGCCACTTTGGTGTTTGGCCCAAACCTGGTGCAAAATGGAGTTGAGCACACAGACCTAAGAGCCAGCTCCAGGTCTAAATAGCTTTTGAAACCATTTCAAAATAGCCTTGTGCAACTTCCAAACGGAAGTTAGGGTTGCAGTTGACAGAGATGACGAGCCTGATTGTGTCCTTAAAATACATTGTTCTGAACTATTTCACCTTAACTGGAAAAAAGCTTTTAAAAAATCTCCAGGTGGCAGGAGTGAAATGTAGCTCCATCTCGCTGAGAGTTCCATCATTCAATGAAACAAAAGCAAACTGGAGGTGGAGGCTCGGGCCCATTATGTGCTTTGCTGATTCAGCAGGGTTCCTTTTTTTCTCTGTGAACCCTACTAAGTCGTTTATTCCATGAGGTATAATCAATGATTCTCTGCCCCCGAAAGCTTTATGCTCATGGCTGTCACTGTCCTAAGTGCAGGACAGCTGACTTCTCTCCCACGTTCCCATCCTGTATTACCACCCATCCACTTGGACTTTCTTACTCAGATGTCCTCAAATGGCATTCAGTGCAGCCCAGCCCCAAATCAGTTTTCCCACTCAATTCCCCAGCTGCCCTCCCTCCAACTGACTGCACACCGCCCCTTCAAAACAGCTGCCCAGAACCTTCAGTGACTTCAGTGGTCTTTCACCTGTCTTTTTCTTGTAAAACTTATATGGAAAATTTCAAACATATACAAAGAATAGTACAATGGACCTCCACGTACCCTTCATCCAGCTGTAGCAAATCCTCCATTCATGGCCAATCTCCTTAATTTAAATCCCACTCACTCCCCATCTTGCTACGCGACAATTCGGAAGCAAGTCCCAGACCTGTCACTGCATCTGTCAATATTTCAGAATGGGGGCCGGCCCAGTGGCCAAGTGGTTAAGTTCACATGCTCTGCTTTGGTGGCCCACCGTTTCGCTGGTTTGGATCCTGGGCGCGGACATGGCACCACTCATCAGGCCATGCTGAGGTGGCATCCCACATGTCACAACTAGAAGGACCCACAACTAAAATATACAACTATGGGGTCTGGCCCTGTGGCCGAGTGGTTAAGTTCTCGTGCTCCGCTGCAGGCGGCCCAGTGTTTCATTGGTTCGAATCCTGGGCACGGACATGGCACTGCTCATCAAGCCACGCTGAGGCAGCGTCCCCCATGCCATAACTAGAAGGACCCACAACAAAGAATATACAACTATGTACCGGGGGGCTTTGGGGAGAAAAAGGAAAAAAATAAAATCTTTAAAAAATAAATAAATAAAATAAAATAAAATATACAACTATGTGCTGGGGGGATTTGGAGAGAAAAAGCAGGGAAAAAAAAAGATTGGCAACAGTTGCTAGCTCAGGTGCCAATCTTTAAAAAAAAAATTTCAGTATGTGTCTGTAAAAGATAGGATTTACACACACTCACAACCATACTACCATTTTACCACCTAGAAATGTTGACAATTCCTTAACATCACCAATTATCCAGTCAGTGGGCCAATTTCCCCATTTGTCTCATACATGTTATTTACACTTTGCTTAAATCAGTTTTCAAATGGCATCCACTTGTTGCATTTGGTTGATAGGTCTCTTAAATCTCTTTTAATCTATAAATTCATCTATTTTTTCTTTTTTTTCATTTTTTGTAATTTATTCCACACTACCGAATCATTTGTCCTGTACGATTTCTCAGATTTTGGATTTTGCTAATTGCTTCCTCATGGACGTGTGTTTCTCTGTGCTTACATTTCTTGTAAAGTGATATATAGAAGATCGAGAAGCATGATCTGATTCAAGTTTGTTTTTTTGGCAAGAATATGTGATATGAGTTGGGGAGGGGTGGCGCTCACATCCCTAGTTGCTTTCCAGGTGCTATGGGTTAGTTACCACCAGCCAGTTGCCCACTCCTGCTCTGCCCTGCAGAATAAGAGGGTGATCAGGCAAATGGCAGTGGGGTTCACTCAAAAAGAGGAATGAATCGATGTATCCAGGGTCTCTCACTCAGAATACTGCAAGAAGAGGGTGGGAGGAGTTGATGGACAATTTCAGACAGGATTATTAGTTTATGTCAACCTTGATGAAAGCGTGCTTGATGCCCTCAGAGAGCTCTCTTGGGCTCCAACAGTTAAAAGAAAGTGATTTGTCACACCTGCAGGCTCTTAGGGATTCCTCGCCTGTTCTAGACCAAAATTACATTTTTGTGTTGAGTTATAAAGACCAATAAACAAAGGGAGCAATGTGAAGCAGGTGCAAGAATCCACAGAGAGATCTGACAAAGTCTTTGCTTGAGTGGCCCAGCAACGCGGTGGCTGTAACCACAAGTCAGAGGAAATATGACGATCTTCCTTCATACAGGGTGCAAACCAGAACTGGAACCACAATCTTTGTTGATAAGATACCAGACTTAAATGAGGATGAGTTTGTGCTGTTTCTCAAGAAGGATAGTCTCACTTGAGATCTACATCCTACGTCTCATCAGAGAGTACGCATTTAGCACCTTCTGTGGAAAGGATGCTGACAGAAAGCTGTGACATTGTGTCGTGGCCATGAAATTTGCCCTGGAGTATGCATTTCTGTGGCAAGCAACAGGCTGGATCAATTTCACAAAGTAAGACATAGGAAAAGATTTTGAAAGAAGTCACACAAAGTTTGGTCAGTGGTATTTTCTATCATGAATATCATTTCTATCATGATAAGAAAAAGATCTGAGAGTTCAAGAATCACCAGTTAGCAGCACAAGCCAGAGGCTGGCTGATGAGCGGAAACCTAAAAGAATGAAGTTAGTTCCAGTTGAATGGATTGACCTTGCAGATGAAACGGATCCTGAGCTTGTGGCAAGATATGCACACTTCGGGAGAATCTTGACAATCACAATTTTGAAAGAGCTATTGAATAGGCAATTTTCAGAATTTAGAAAACTCAAAAGGCTGGATAAGTTGAAATATTACGCATTTGCTCACAAATGGTAGCACACTGTTCTGCATCCGCTTTTCAGATATAACATAGCAGCAAATAATATTGCATATACATCATTATCCCTCCCATTCCAGTATATAGGACAAATGCTATTTTAACAGCTAAAATATCTTCTTGTTGAAAGAATGACACGAAGTATTACTATTGTCAGATAAATGAACAAATTAGACATAAATTATGTCTCATAATCCACCCATTTAGTGTTTGCATCTCTGTTTTAGAACACCAGTATTTTTTACTGCCCTTATTTCCCAGATGTTCACAGTAATTCTTAAAAAGAAAAAGAAATCAATATTTTTAGGTTGTGACCATTATAACCTGTCAGGGTTAAGGCTGTGTGGGCTCTGTAACCAGACTATCTGAGTTTCAATTCCAACTGTGTGATTTTGGACAAGTTTTTTAACATCTCTAAACCTCAATTTCCTTATCTGTAATGGGGATGAAATCAAATCATTTTTTCAAAATCGTTTGTGAAGACATTTGTCAATTGCCTTGGATCATGGAGGACGCTAAACGGCGGTTAGGGAGAAATTTTAGACCATCAGTAGAAACTTACTAACTATTAGGGAAAAGCCTCATAGGACATTAGGCCCCATGGATGACAGGCAGATGTACTCATTATTGTTCCTGCCAAAGGAGATAAAAGTTTGCGTGGAGAAACAAGACTGACACAAGACCTAGCAGTATTAGAAGAAAATTTGGGATTAATTCTTTTGTAATCTTAGAGTGGGAAAGAGTTCTAACTTTCTAACTACCACTCAAGTTATAAAGAAGGACTGATAAATTGACCCACATGAAATAAAATCTGTGACAAACTGGGGAAAAATATTAGCAATTTGTATCTCAAAGGGCTTACCCCCTAATGTGCAAAGAGCCCCTCAATATCAGTAACAAAAAAGATCAACGGCCCAAGAAAAAAAGGGGCAAATGCTACAGAAAGACAGTTCACAGAAAAGGAAACACAAATGGCTTTTAGACATATTTTGTTAAGTGCTTAAGATCATTTTTTTTACCCCTCTTTGTTTCCTGTGCTATTTCCTATTCTTTTTGTGGTTACTCTTAAAATCTTAACATGTAAGTTTCCTCAGTCAGGTTTAAAGTTAATATGTCTAGTCTCCACGCAAACAATACATGAAATTTAATTTTTGCTTAGATAAAATATTCCAATGGTAGAAAATTCAAAAGGTACGAAAGGATATATAGAGAGTGAACTGTCTCTCGTCTACCCTTATTCAAAGCCACCCGGTTTCGATGCATGAAG